ATTTCTGTGGATCCAATCTTCGCTTGCTTTTCTGCCGCCATGAAATGACGTAATATGATAGTTAGGTTTCGCCGTTGTCTGGGTATTCTTTAAGTGACCTTAGGAATCAAATTGAAGATCTCAAGAGTCTAGAAATCGAACATTGCGTCGCGAGGCAAAAGTGCAATTTTACCCTGTAGCCAGTGTGTGAATTGACTTTTTAAGGAACCGAAAAGATAATTGGAAGAACATATTTATTCTCCCTTTCAGCTTGGTAAATATATAGAGCGAGAAAAATGTTGTGAGAAAAATTTAATTACTAAAGACAATTTTATATTAAAAATTATTATTAATAATTAGAATATATTTACAGAAGATGCACGTTAGTCTATTAGTATAAACATAGTCTCAATTTGAATTTAAGTGTATTTACACTACAATGAGACACAGAGTAGATTTTCCCAAAAGAATAATTTAAAACTGGGTATCGTTTTCAATTATGCAAGTTTCGAGCTTCATTCAGCATTGGTTTTTCATTCGAAGCGTATGAGATTATAAAGGAAATCTAACGTAGTTATTCAATCTAATTATTATCTATTGTTATTCAATCCAGTTATTCTATCTAACGATTATAACGTATCCTCGAATCTTGGAGGTGGATGTTTTTAAGTGCACTATGATTTGTGGCATGGGGGTACTTAGCATACTGTCCAGCCAAAAATCTCCTCAAGAGGCTTGGTGTTAGGGAAGGAATGGTGGAAGACACTCGTCCCTGTCTCCCAGTTTACTCTATCAAACCCGGCACTGAAATTCTCTTTTTTTTCGCCTGTGTAATTCAATCGTCCCCTGGTGTGCATCCTGATAAACGTGACATTTAAAGAGATGGCTAAATGTCAGACAGGTCTAGACATTGCCGACAAATAGGTTACCTTTCAAATGCCTGAAAACATTTGGAACTATAACTGCATTATTATTTGCGCCGAGATTTGTGCACACTGCTCACGCATAACAACTATACATATAGAATTTGTATGTACTTGCTTCTTCCAGAAACAGAATTATTCTACGCCTAAAATTTTGACAGAAATCTAAGGCAGAGTTCTTAAAAGAACAAATATTATCAAAGGATAAACCTTCATAATTTTAAATTGGCGTGCATTATTATTGCTTTATTTCCTAAATATGATTTAAACTATCAAAATAAAATTGTCTCCTTCATCAAGAAAAAATATTGAAAGAGTAAGAATATCTAAAATCGTTCACTGGCCAAGTGGATCTGCATCCTTCTTACGCTATAGTATTATATAATACTATAGCGTAAGAATATACTCGTGGTCGAATGCACTTCGTTATGAATAAGTCCCTAGATCCGGAAGAGCTGTTAGCTTGAACTGAATTTTTTAATCCTTTTCATTTGCAAAACACAAAGTAGTACTTCGCAATGCGGTAGAAAAATTCGAAATTCATACCCTGGTGAAACATTTTGAAGATCCTGGGAAGAGGATAAAAAATTTAAAAAAAAAAATGTTTTTACTTAACGAAAATTTTGAATAAAATACTAACAGCGTAAGATAGGTTGGAGCTTTCGACCTAAGAAACAGCAATGGAAACCCTGCGCTTTAGTACTGAGCTACTCTTCCTTCCTGTTAGAGCGCTGAATTAATCTTCTTGCTCCCCGAATCTTATTACAATTTTTTCTACTCGGAACTCTACTATAAGCTTTTCTGCGATATTTTTGGGTATTTTCTCATCATTGACAATTTATATTACTTCATGAAGTAACTGATGTTAAGATCTTTGAACCTTACAAGTGATTTTTGATTTCTTCTGGGAGTGCCGGGATACTCTTTTTAAGCTCATTGTAGTTTTGGACTTGTTTGTTTTGGTTTTATTCTTTTCGCTTCTTGGGAGTGCTTCATTTTTAGGGTAGTTTCTGCTGGCTTAAAAGATGGTTTCTTTTCTGACACTCAGTGTTTATATAACTGCTCAGAATTACGAAAACAAAAGAAAAAAGGTGTAAAGAAAACCTTTCTCTACCAAGTATCTTATATAGATAATTAAATGTATCTTTTAGAAATGTTAGTTTTGTATCTATTTGTATCTGCATCTAATATATATTTTATTGAAATTAAAATAAAGGTTTTAACTAGTAAAAAATACTATTATTGTTTAAGTAATCAAGAATGGTTAATCAAAATAAAAATTAAACGTAGTACGTTTTGCCGAATTTCAACATCCTAAAAACCGATTAAGCGTAATCTGATGCTAGCTAAGTTTGAAAATGTAAATTATTGCTTTCAAGTTGCTCAGTTCACTAAGCAGTTAAAATCTGATTAAATTCGATAAATAAATTTAAAAGCTTGCATTTTGCCAAGGTGATAAAAAGAAAGAGTATAAGATTTATATTTCCTTCGCTTCACAACCAACATAATTTCACATTTGAAAGTCAGATTCCAGATTTGAACCATAGAAAAAGTTTAAGTATTCTCATTTGCTTGTTTTCTTGTAAAATTTCATGTATAGCATTTAAACACTGAAAGTTTATTATTTTGCATGGTGAAATAATACGTTAGGATGTATTAATATTGTTACTATAGTTTTCTAATCCGATATTTATACTTCCAGTATAGATTTGCTTGAAACTATACGTTTTAGTCCAAATATTTCATTTTTAGAAGAGCCTTATTTCTAAAATGTACTCTTCGTTTTTCAGGATTCATAGCACTGAGTGTCATTTATGGCACATAAAGTGAATCTGTCCTTTCTTAGTCTGAAAGTTAAAATGAATAAATAAATATTATTCCGATGAAATAAAATGCGTTTATAAAAAACCAAATCCAGTCAAATATTGATTTTAATAACGTGATTAAAGTTTGAATCAATGTATATTGTGTATTAAATTATGAAATTCGACATAAGCTGCAGCGGCATTATGTGTAACCTATTATTTTTCTATGAGCATTTAAGAAGTATTGCCTAATGAAGTTTGCTAAATTTGGAAGAAAAATTTTGAATGCTTTAAATATGCTTTCGCTCAGGGATTAGAATATAAAAATTTACAGAAGTTATAAACTGAGAAATGTACAGCCTGCAGGGGAGGGAGGGAAAAACTGCACAGTTTTTTATCTCCCGTTCTACTGTGCCGATTGACGAAATTTAACTTTCGTTTTTCATGTCTCAAAAGCTCGAATTAGAATATATATATATATATATATATATATATATCTTGCATTGTTCTAACATAGGCATTTGGTCACAAAATTCAACTACTCAAATAATGTCCAAATATTTAAATATTTGGTGAAAGACTTACAGGGAAATCTTGGCTCCCTTTTTTTCAATTTGTGCCAAGAATAATTCACTTGGCGAAATTTTTAATTTAGACTACCTATTTTCGTTTCCTTTTTTTCATTGTGCATGAGCGGAAAAGGTGAACCGCTCATACTTTCAAATAATTTTAACTAAGTGCATAAAGCACATTTGGCGTTATATGCTAAACGCGTCAGTATATAAATTTATGTATATCTTTGGAAATTTTGAATAAAAATCTCTAATGTTATGAGCCCACCAGCGGCCGAGCGGTAAAGTCGCTGAACACTGGTAGTTCGGTCCGAGGTTGGAATCCCGCGAACGGGCTGGCTGCATGGGTGTTTTCGTGGTTTTCACCATGTGTAACGTGTATACGAGCCAGTTTCCCTTAGAAAGTCCTCCACGAAGGCATCCCTCCTCTTAGGCAGATAGCCCTCGAGGCTTTGCCATAATCACACACACACACACATTCTCTAATGTTATGCAGACACGCCTAGAAATACATCTATTTTAAGACGAACGTTATAAGTCATAATTCAATTTTTTTAACAATTTATAAAAATTATTAAAAAATACAAATTAAAAAAAAATCAGAAAATTGCTGAGAATTTTATTTCGATTGAACCTAATTTCGAATTGTGAAAGAAGTAATCAAGTAAGTTTAATAAAAAAAGAGATATTAATAAACATATACCAAATTTAATTACCATTACCTGACTTTTTGAAAGCTACTCCTGCGACATTTACAAAATTTGTCGCTTTAACATAATTTGATTCATAGAATCGAAATGTGCAAAAACAAAAGTTATGTTATTTCAGAAAAGTCCGACTTTGAGTATGAATTACTATGTTAGTACAATGTTCTATATATAAGTCTAATATTTATCCTAAGTCGCGCTTTCGAGACCTGAAAAATGCAAGTTAAGTGTCGTCAATCGGCCCAGTAAAACGGGGGATATAGAACTGTTCCATTTTTTATGTAAGGTGTACCTGATGCTACGTAATATTTCTCATTAATACAGAAACGTTTTTGTCTTAATTTCTATCATAACCGGAGGCTCACATGTAAGTAAACATACTGAGGTGAAATACAAATAACCGTTGACTACAGATCTAACAAATTCTGACAAACTAACAAATTCTGAAGTTAACCCTTATCTGCACTTCACCTCTTTATAACTCCTTACATGTGAGCCTTCTCTTATGATGGCTTTAGTAACTGAATTGTCATTATTCTTAATTTCATGTAAGGTTTTGTCCATCAAAGAGGTTATTACTTAAATATTGGTAACATATAACTGAAACACAAATTTGGTTTTTGAAAACTTACTTTGGAGTTTACAAATTTACTAAAGTAGTACATCTACTAAAATAGTACATCTTAAATTTTTAATTTCTGAACATATATTTTTGAATTCTGAATGCAAATATTTAATTTTGAGTACAGTAATTTCCTCATAATTTTAATCTTTTGTAACAGCAGTCATACGCTAATGCTCATTTCGTTTCTCCCGAGAGAATTATCATGTATGCTAACGTGGCTTCTGATGATGAAGATTTGTCACGCAATTATCTCATGCAATATCCATGACGTACAACACGGTATCATAACTGAGCTCTTTAATTCTCTTATGTTAAGTTTATAAATATTTGGAAGAATGTTATTTATTTATTAACACATGTGCCACCTAATAAACTATTTTCTCATTTAGTGCCACCTAGGTGGGTCATTGAACCATCTGATGTTTACGTTGTCAAAGGTAAAAGCATAACAGTTGACTGTCAAACTGAAGGCTTTCCACAACCGAGGGTCAGATGGACAAAATCTGAAGGTAAAAAACATTAAGTAAAGTTCTCCAACTGATAAAACATTTTTGTATACTATTGTTAATTGTTTAAAATTTTACAGATTGATTTGCAGACTTATTTAAGAAATAAGTTTTAGATTCATTGACGGCTGAAAATCATTCTGTCTAAGAGCAATATAAAGCTTATTTTGCGTACTCTTTTTTATGTTTGGTTTTCATGCGCAGTTTCAGAAAGATAGTAAGACTAAGTATCTCTTAAATTAATGGTTATAGATACATGTTTCAAGTTTTAAGAAATGAGTAAAATTAGACAGGAAAAATTTTGAAATGAGACACATATTTTATGCGGTTATTGAACAAAGAAATTTCCAATTAAAAATGATATTTCATAGACATAGATTAAATACTCTGTTCTGTAATATGCAAAACAGATTTTGGAACCTATTTGAGGATGAATGGACGGCTTTTCGACATTCAGTTGAAACTAGCATGTAGGAAAGAAATGATAGATAGGGGCTCCGGAAAGCTGTAAGCAGAAATGTCCCGAAACTGGCATCCGCAAATAAACAAGAAAGCTCTACAAAGTAATCTTTTGTCTGTCGAATCACTTACTCATTAATACTTTGCATCTTACTTGCATGGTTATTATTTTTTACGTGTCCTCCTACTAGCATATTTCTAAAATGAATGGCTGAAATTAGGAAAGAGTAATACAAGACACATGATAAACTTTTGACAAATAATGAAACTTTAGTAATAATTTATTTATTTATATTTTCTATTTTGCATTATTTTTTCATTAGTCATTATTAATGGCTTTCATAACTCATGATGCATTACGAATGAGAAAATTTCTGATGTTCATTTTGCCATTCTGTCATCATCATCATCATCCTTATCTACCTCAAATATAGTATTATCTTTACTGCAAAAGTAGCAATGATTTCTAAATATAACGGCAGATATTGCATGCAATGTGTAAATAATCCAATATAAGATCTACTCAGTTTATTTACTAAGAAATAAAATGAAAGCATAAAGAATACAGTTGGTAAAAATGGTTAAAATAGAAAGAAAAACGTTGTTGAAACTTTATGTAAAAGTGATACTTTGCCCAAATTTCTATGGATATAGAGGGCAATGCATGCAACTTTTATCTACGCTGATTGATATAATAACTTTATAAATCTGCTTACAGATATATAAGGTGTTTAAAACTGTATGTAAACTATATGATAGACCCATGATTCCAATTTAAATAATAATAATAATAATAAAGAAAGGCAAATTTTCTACTATGACTTCATTTCATGATACCTTGAGTAAAATCCTAACAAATTCAAATTCTTATACGCAGCTTTTATGAAAGTATTTCCAGTATGGAAATTATTCCTTTATCGTGCTAAAGCTCCTAAAGAGACAGAAGAGAGGAAGATGCCAAATATGTACGACATTGGCTGGAAAAGAATCATAAAAATTATATAACTCTACTGTAAAAATCATAACGTGTGCAAGTAACGTGTTTCCGCAAGTGTACCTAAATCAGATAATTTCAGTCTTTGCCATGCCAATGATATATTTGCGAAAATTTAAATTTATTTTAATGTTGATTCTACAACATTTTTATAAATGTAAATAAATAATAAAATTTTTAATGTAAATAATTAGTAAAATAATTCATAATTTTTAATGTATCTAGGAGATAGTCCTAGAGACTACAAGTCCATCGTCAGTAGTCCTCACATACAAGTGTTCGAAAATGGTTCCCTGTCCATAACTGATGCGACTGAGCAAGATGCTGGATACTATTTGTGTCAAGCTTCTAACGGGATTGGTCAGGGGCTCAGCAAAGTTGTTCGGCTCAAGGTTCATAGTAAGTAATAATTATAAAACTTGCTATTATTATTTCAAAATGGTCGCCCAGACGGTATAGTGGTTAGGAAAGCCAGACTACTATACCAAAGGGCCCGAGTTCGAATCCCGGGGAAGGCATGGATGTAAAATTGTCTCTCCCTTCATAGGAGGTAGCGGTGACCGCCTATTAGGTGCCTCCACAGAAATGGCCACCACTTCTGGACTTAGTAGAGGCAATACCGTTAAAGGCAAGTGCCCGCCATTGGGAAAAAATTCAAAATCTCATAAAGTTATTACAAACGTATCAACTCTATTTCTGAACTATATGAACTGTACCAAAATTCTAATTTGCCGAATGGACATGAAAACCATCACGACGGGGGACAAATCTGGAAAGAATATATATTACACACATTATGTAATAAGAGCTATTAATCCAAGATAAATTTTGAACTTAAAATGGTGTACAGAAGCAAATTTAGATGCACATTTAATTTGTGTTTATATATTTATTTCCGGGTCTCATGTTTTATTTATGGGTACCAAAATGTTCATTTTCAGTTATTATTAATTCACAATTATTTACTTGCTCTCAGTACTTAATAAAGCTGATAAAAACAACCGAATTATCTTAATATAGAGCAAATTTAATAGTAATATGTAACGAAGAAGACTTTATCTTTGAAAAATGGGGCGGAATGCTACAGTTTCTGAAAATCATCTTATAAGAAGTTTCACACTACATGTACTATGTTCAGGTAGTATAGAATGCATATTTCATGTGACAATCAGTATGCTTATTATGGATTCAGAAATCATTTCTCTGTTATCATTCTTTTTGAATGCATTGTATTAAACACGCTTTTCTATTTCTCTGCTTCAGAGTCTATTAATGTCAAATCTTGGTTTTCGAAACCCAAACTTCAGATTGTTAATGCAGCTGTATGATTTAAAATTTTCATTTCCTACAGTTGAGCGCGAATTAGCATAAGCCGATTATTTTTACGGAACTATTTTTATCATATAAACTCTGTCACAAAAAATATATACACGGAGATGGAAACGAACTACTATCACGGAACTTAACATGCATTTAGTGCATGAGGAGATAAACAAAGGATTACAAATTCAGAACAAAAGATCGTTTTATTAAGAAGTTGTGGCATGAAAAAATCGCGCATCTTTCTTTCAATAGTAAACAAGACGGATAAATTGTCCGAAACAGTTTTTCGTATGAACCAAATGCATGTGTGATATGGGCCTCACCAGACTACATTCCTGCTGAGCGAGTTTCGCTATTGTGCATCGATTTCTTCTAGGTGTATATATTTTTTGTGATAGAGTGTGTTAGTTTAAATTTACGTTTCAAATTACCACAGGTTGAAAATATAACATTTCCACTATCGCAGAATTAACGTTGGAACAATAATATAACATACCCAAAATTATGCATATAATTTCGAAAAGGTTTTATGTAGACGCTACTTCTAGAGGCATATCAACTAAAATACCATTTTTTACGAGCTTTCGCGAACAAAAACAAGACAGTATCGCTTATAGTTGCGAACAAATAGAGTTGTAATAAATAGATAAACTTTAAATGGATAAACTTAGGTATTTTACGTAAATGAAAGAGGCATTGTGAAAGCTATTGAAATCCGCAGTAAAGCGCATTCTCCTTTATGTAATTTTTTCATGGCAACATTCATTTTCCCATACTTCTCAGGATATAAAAGACGCATTGGATTTACCCCTCCCAAAAAAACTATGCCCGTGGTTCAGTATCTAAAAATCTTCCAATCGACTCCTTTTAAAAAAATTGATGATGTTGTAGTAACTTGCTTTTTATAGATAGAGAAATCTCTTTAACCCAAAAATTCAGCATAAAAATCAGAACATGGTTGTTGTAATTTTGCAAAAAAATTGTACATTTAAACTTTTTTCGCTGCTTCGCTGCTTTAGTTCCCCCCCCCCCACTTTTTTTTTTTTTTTTTTTTTTTTTTTTTTTTTTTTTTTTTTGTGTGTGTGTGTGTGTGTGTGTGGACTTGCGTGTTTTTAGCAATGATTTCTCAAATAATTTACTTGAAAATCCAATTCCTAATTTTTCAGAAAAGTTATATGTTCTGAAAGCATGTTCGTAGATTTTTAAAGCAGTCCTAAAACTATTTTAGTCATTTAAAATCATATCATTACTAACGAATAATGTAAGCAATTATGTTTAAAATGATATACTGTGATCTTCTCTGGATTTGAGTTTTGGTCCATGTTAGTGTTACGATGAAAGTATAAAACTCGAACAAAAAGTGTCTCCCAGGATTATACTAATTTTACGCATTATATTACACCGCTTCTAAATGTATATTTCAGCTCAGCGCTTAATTTATATTTATTTATAATGCATATTTACTGTAGTTTAATCTGTATTTAATTCAACAAATAAAAAGAACGTTATCTATGTTAAAATTTCGTATTTGAAACATAAAGTGCTTGTAGTTAAATGGTCAAGACGATTTTCAAGAACATTATTTTATTTTAAGTTTAAATTAGGGATCTCAAATGGTTAAAAAAGCATTAGAAGGTCGATTGGCCATTCATACTCAAAAACAAAAAGTATAACACTTACATTGGCTAAACATGTTTCCCAAATCATGAAATTAATTTTACTAAATGTGGATGTATAAAGAGTAAGGAATTTCAATTTTCATTAAAATATTTCATCTTATTGACAAACAAAATTCTGTGCAAATATCTGAAAGATTCATCCAAAGCAATAAGTAATCTAATGTTTATAATTTAACGATAAAACAGCAAGCAAAGAAAAAATTCTACAACCAGTTCTAAATTTAGTATCAAATCTGATTCATCTGAAAGCTTAAAAGCTTGAAATATTAGACTTTTGAATTTTTAGTACATTTTCTAAAATTTAGCACTGATTAGTGCGTTCATAAAGTATGTTGTAAGGTCTCGTTGAGTTTATGAATCACTTATTTTATGTTAATAATCATTAATATTTATACCAATAATTATTTAATTTGCTTTTCTGTCCCTCTTGTTTCCCATTTTCCTGATAGAATGTAAATTTCTAGCTCGCGTAATATTCAAATGAGGTAGAAAGGAGACAGTATTTAAAGAAACGTTTTAGAGGGTAGAATCAAAGCGTGTTCTGCCTGCTGAAGGCGACGTTGCTAATTTGATTCTCTTGAGATTAATATTTTGCGGCGTTGCGTTATTCACGTCATTTACTCTGTTTGTATAGTTTGTTGTTTGTTTTGCTAACTTACTTTTACTTAATTAAGTTAAATTTAATACCTTTGACTTAAACCATAAATGCTGGCTTCTGTATGCACGAATGGTGCCTTCTGTTAACTTTTAATTGATTTAAATGAAATGATCTCTCACACCCTTTTTTCAGTCTCTGTCACAAGACATACGATAATTCACTTTAAGTCTTCATACATTTCGTACATTTTATGCTACCAAACAATACGAGACGTTATGATGTTACAACAAACTGCTCCTAAATACAACATGATTCACCTTAGTTACACCATTTTCTTTCTTTATAAAAAGGTGTAGGCATATATGGAAAGGTATGATTTAATGCCAATTCACTGACATTTGAAGCTCTAACTAAACACTTAAAAATACGTTTAGATGCGTAAATTATTCGAATTTTTAATAAAATAATGTTAGATTTCGTGTCTTGATCAAAAGTAAATCTCTGAAGTAATTATGTAAATATGATTGTTTGATATGGTAGGTGTGTAGGTAATAGAAAAGTGAACACTAAAAAACTAGAAAAAATGGATTAAGTTTGCATCGTTGAGAAATAAGTTTTAGCACTAATAGAAGTTTTATATTATATTAACGGGAGTTCGGAAATTTTGCTATTACTGTTTTCATGAAATTTATTTGTTTGAGAAATTTAATTAGCCACGTATGGGGGAATTGAAATTTATTGTAATATGCTCGAAGTTGTTCCTCTTAAGACTGATATCGCTTTTTTTCTCAAGAGAGGTTAAAGTATATATTATTATTGTGATTTCATTTCATGTCAAATGATATTAATCTTTGTTTTTGTGAAATGAAACGAACCATAGCTTCCTTCAGTAAATTTCACTGTTAATCGAGGGGGGGAAACTATCTTTCAATTAAGTTAAGTTGGAAAACCTTTGCATTTAAACTAAACATGTTTTAATCGTTTCTTGAAGATTTCCCAAAACATTCATTTTATAGTTAAAAATAAATTTCGCGCCAAGAGAAGTGATTAAGAACTTAGAAATTGCATTTGTTTAAAAAAAAATGTCAATTTGATATCTTCTTTTACATCCAAACTATAAAAAGAATTCGGAAAATTTATCAGCAGCATGCTTAAGTACTTTTACCACGTTTCAGATTTTGGAAACTTCAGTGAAATGCTTTCGAAGCAGCTTTTTTACACATGGAGTCGTGATTCTATTTGTTTGCATTTTAATCTAGTTCCACCCTCCCCGTATCTGAAACTCATGTGAACAAGAGGAGAAAAATGAAAATCGAAAAATAAATGCTGTTTCCTTTTCCGTAATTTTCTTTGTGTTGCGCCAAATGGTCCCTGGTTGACTGAGCCATGGGTAATGACATGTAAATTCTGTTATACTAAAAGGAATCATTGTTATTATCTGTTATACTCTGTGGAGTACATTACATTATAAATTTTCTCTGTGTATTAAGCTCCAAAATGAAGGGTAGAAAATTGTTGCGAAGAAAATACACGCCAAGTGAAGTCCATTTCCATTTCATAAATTTTTTTATGCATTTTGTAAATGTCCATCTAAATCTGAATTTAATAATCTCTGCTCGCACAGATAAGAAACAATTCCTGATTTAGCATAATGCATAAACACGAGGAGAAGGGTTTTTGTTTTTTAAAGATGTATTTCGCCATGTGGTTCTTTTACGGTTAGCTGAGTGTTTGTGTACTGCAACAATTCTCCTCAGGTTTTTCCTCCGGACTTTTTATATCTCGGTTCATTAACAATACTATCGAAAGCATTTTGCCACCGTAGCGGTTTTTATTTAAAAGCATAGATAGCTAGTGACTTGTCAGTTTTTCTGCCTTGAAGGCCAGAGATTTTTTTCTCCGACAAACTTTTCGGAAAGACTAGAATACAGAATAAAAAAAAAACACGAAAATGGAGCAGAAAGAAAGGTCATTAAATGATCGTTTACTAAAACTTCTTTCTCTCTCTCTCTCTCTCTTTTTTTTAAAGTTTTTTAGAGATTTTTTTAGATTCGAATTTCAGCCAAATTAGATAAGTCGATGAATGTACTAAAAAAGATACAGCTAATAAAATTAGTGATACATTCAGAAATGTGATAATAATGAAAATGTGAAAAGATAATCGGCTGTAGTTTCTTATTATTGGAGGAAAGGAGGAACATGTGAGCATATTTAGACTTTTATTAGTTACAATTCTACCAGTAGACATAACGGACAAAAATTATGGAGAATTTGAAAATCTGAATACCTTTAATTTTATCGTTTTCAAAATTATTGAAATGTAAAAACATTACAAATCTGAGCAATTGTCAGTTTGCGCTGTAGTGAAATATTGTTGGAAAATGGTTTTAAGCGATATATATAAAAGAGGCGTTTGTATCCTGTTATTAATTTAGGACGAAATTTAAATTATAGGTCAGAAAATAAAAATATTTTAGAGTTAAACAGTGCAAGTAAAATTATTGGTAAGTGGATTTTTTTAATTATTATTCTGCTGAGATAAGAGAATCTTCATTCAATTTAAGAAATCGGCATGGCCAAAAAGAAGAAATCGTGTATAATTGATTGGGCACATTTTAGGTAACACAAGATTGGGCGCATTTTAGGTAATAGTACTCGTACTTAACACTGCATCTCTATTTTAATCGAGAACACTCTAGGCGAAGGAAGCGAAGGCTTTCTTAACCTCTCTTACTCTGTTACCAACCTGCTGAGGAGATATCTTGTCTCGTCGGATTTTAGACCCCTCATAACGAATACACTATATATTTACAAACAACCATGTCTTCTCTGGGAATCTGGAAAATACAATATAGCAGATTGCACCACTAACCATCATGCCGATTAGGGCGACGTAGGAAACACGTAACACTTCAGTACACGTTATACTGAAGTTAATCAAATAGCAAAATATAATACAATTATTTGAAATCTAATTGGAAATTCAAAAGAATTAAAATTTTTAAGCAAAATTTCAAGCTCATTAAAAAGGAAGAGGCTTATTTTCAAACATTATTAACTTTAATTATTTTTTCAAAGTTAACATCGGTTTGTTTGGGAGATTTCGAGTAGAATTATTAGAGTAACGAAAGACAGAAGTTTTACTTTTCATGATGTATACCCAAATCTGAGATCAAGAGACAATATTTATTTTTTTTTAAATTTGATGCCATACGGATAGGTTCCATAAGCATAATGCTCATGCTTTCAAAATCCTGAATTCTCAGCTGTTTTGTTATCTCAGTTACGCAAATAAGATTAAAAAGCAAATGCAAGCATCACTGTAGGCAAATACACGTTCATATTCTCACATATTTCGGTTTCAGGATGCTTTAACATCCTGAAACCGAAATAATCAACGTTTACCGTGTGCCTAATCAGTTAATTGACAAAATAAAGCAAACTTTTTAAGGTTTGCGATATAAATTTTATAATGAAATAAGGGTTGGCTGTGCACATTTTTCAGAAACAAAATTGAAACTTAAAACAACCACAAGGACAAAATGATTAATGATAAAATTTTTGTTCTCCATTGAATATAAGCTATCAATGCACTTCTTAAAATAAACTATATAGATTTGAATTATTCGCTTTATATAAAATCCCCATACTTTTCATATAATGGTACTATCTCTGCTTGGAACTATGTACATAATTTAAACTAATGAAAGGCCTAATGATCATAATTAACGGATTTATTCAACAAAGTTAAGTGACATATAGATTCGAATCAAATTTACAAATATTAAGTATCTAGACTGAAAACCTAAGCAGTACGAGTAAAAAATCTAGAGTAAATACGATAAATGCGGAATGCACTACATAATACCTAAAAGTCTTTTTGTGTGTTTATCTTCAAAGATCAGTTTGAGGGGAGAATATATTATTGTTATTAAACGCATTATTTACAGCTGAAATATTCTGCACCTTTCAATATTATAAAATAATTCTTTTTATGACATTTTCCTCATGTTTCTAATCTTTATACAATCTTACGGGATTTAGTAAACTAATCTTTCAATAAAATAATACGCCTTAGTAGCTAAGGCATGTTATCATACATTTAGCATATAACATACCCATTTTTGTTAAGTTTTCCTGAGCTTAATTTCATCTATTATTTTAAAATTAGAACTGGCATTTCTAATCACTTAATGATAATTTTTGGCTGCATGAAAATTTTAATTTAATTGTCATTAGACCAGAAATTGGAATCAGTATATGATTTGTAAGTTTTTTTCGTTTAATATGCACTTTGTGTTCCTTAATGGACAGTTCTAAGGTTCTGTTTATTTGTATAAGTAAAATTCTATAAAGAGTTTCTGTAAAATCCAAACTAATTAATACAGGCAAGAAGATGTTTAAAGATAGAGCTACAAATTTTATCAAGATGAAATATAACTAAGAATTTTCTTATTTTAGTTTTCCCGAATAACTTTGCATTTTAATAAATATTTCGATCATCTTTTCTTTTTTTTTTCTTTTTTCCCCCCATAAAAGTTGAAGCTATAATCACTTCCTGGAATTTTTGAAATTTGTGTATTTTTGAATTCTGTGTATTTAAGTATGCTTGCTGCAAAATAATATAAATATTTCTTTTTAGGCATTAAGTTTTTCATTAATGTTATATAATTTTAGGACCTTTGTGTTTTATTGTAATATTGTAATGTTTAATGTTCAAGAGTTTGAGCTCATTTGCGCTGGATCAAATGTTCTAATACGCATACGTATTTTCATCTTACTCTATCTAGTTGAAAACAGAATTATTTTTTCAACTAAGGGGGCAAGCAAAATAATTTTCTTCTGCTATGTAAGTTAAAAGAAATAGGTGGTTCCCAAGACTCCCCCTTCCCCCGAGTTTATATTTGGAGTGAATTCTTTTAAGTATCTTGAAAAATGAACTCAAAAAAGGAGTGGTTTAAAAAACAATCGTTACTCAAACATTCCTTCAATTCGCAACAGTTAAGTATTTTCTGTTATTTAGGCACTGCTTATTTAATAGTACTACAATTTAACTGAATGATTTATATTTTGCATTGAACATAAATTTCAGTATGCACTCCATTTAAGAGAAAATTTGAAATCAAGTTGATTTTCTAGCTTCATGCTAATGAAAGCTTAATATTTCCAGTTTCATTTAAACATTTAGTCATTTTTGTAATATTTTTTAATTTTTTTCCAAAGCAATAGTAAAGAAAGCATTTTTTTATTACCTGCTTTTAACTTGACATATGACAAGACGTGAAATATATGACAATATAATTTTTATGAAACTTTTTACAGTATCATAAATGTTATTGCGTTATAACATATGAGATAATAGTTTGTAACCTCTGCCTCATTAGGTTTTTATAATACCAGTATAAAATTACCACCCCTTTTCCTCGTTAAATTACGTCATTGATATAAAGCCTCGTCTCTTTAAGATGTGGCATTTTATGGATATTTTACTTGCAGTATCATTTCTGTAGTTTTAAATGTATTACTTATTTTTTATTTACAGTTGCTGCTCATTTTCAGTCAAAGTTTATGGCAGAAATGGTTCGCAAAAATCATAAAACTCGCCTGAAATGCGAAGCCATTGGCGATAAACCCATTTCAATTACCTGGATGAAGGATAAAATTGCTATTAAGCCGCAATCAGATCCTAGGTAAGAATTCAAATGACTGAATTTAATTCAATCAGAATATTCTTCTTTACATGTATGAAAAGCAATTGTAACTGAGAAGTTCACATTTATAAATTCAGTGAAATAATTTTACTCCAGCAAGCTAACTGGTGAAATACGCAATCTATGCAGGTGTCCAACATTATTTGATTTATATATATAATTAACTAATGCACAAAAACATTGATTTATCTGAATAATTAAATAAATTAAGTGAATTTATTTCGGATAATGCATAGCATCCTAACTCAAAAATGCAATCTTAGAAACATAATATGATTAAGTATGACATAAAGCAATACGAAACTAAAACAAATGATATATGTTACAATAAAAGTTTAGAAAACGAGAATATTTAGATAGAACTGCAGATTTTTAACCTTCATGGGAATATAATCTCCTTTTATCTCAGAAGCAAATATCACAATGTGATTTTATAGATTTATTTAAGTGGTTAATTAGAATTTGAGGCAGCAAGTTTCATGCTTTAAACTAGTGCCGCCTTCAAGGAATTTAAGGACATTTCTTTGGGAAGCAACTATTCTAATGATGTTCCTTAAGTTTTCTGTTCAATTCAAATCAGGAAATTTGGTTTTTATTTCAAGACACGCATTAACGAGGTAGCTTTGGGTGGATATACCTGGCCATCTATAAAAATTGGAAATTAATACGTGCTTATGAAAACCTTATGTGAGGGTCTCAGTATATCTTGGCATTCGAATAGGTGTAGAAGTGTTCATCCATTGATCACTATCCCTCCTACACCATCACATGAGGTGTCATTCATCACATATGAAGTTGCACTCGACGTAAATAAAAAAAATTCAAAGTTAATATTAATGAAACCATCAAAATATTTTAACAATACTTTTTAGTGATTTTTTGACCTAAGATAAGTTTGTAATTGGCAAAAAATGCTTGTAAAAAAGTTCCAGCTTAATCACTTGTCATTTTCAGGTTCCACAAAGAAGCAAAGAAATTCATCTTGGTGTCGAACTTTAAGTTCGTTCCGGTACTTGATTCGAGTGCGTATGAAACTATCCCTAGTTTCTGCAGCACATTTTGCCGAAAACGCTTCTGTCACTAGTCTCGTATGCCTCTCTACTACTTGAGAATTTCAAGAAAGCTTTCCTATTTAAAATTGAGAACCTCTTCTAATCAATCTTATGTCTTCGTCGCTGAGGTTAGAGGTAGCCGACGGTTCCAAGGGATTGTCCCAGCGAATTATCTCAAAATACTTCTCCGCCTTGTAATTCAATTTGGGAAGCACAAATTGTATTCTCTCCTTGCAGTCAGCTTTTCTTGCTTTCAGCTTTATTCTCAGGCCATATTCACGAATATGTATTCGTTCATCTTCCAACATCGCTAACAGGATACTTCAGAGTGAGCAAGATAACAGTTCTTCTGAATAATTTCGTGAACGAGTGCCTTAAAGTTTTCGGATAAGAACGATTTTTTGAATCATTCCGTGAACATGACGAGCACCATGTGTTCCTCTCGGGATTTTCCTTATTTCAAATCAGGATGACACATAACCTTTATAAAATATTCAGCTAGTAGCTTCAAGACGTCTGCCTTCGGCGGTTGATACATAAAGGCGAAGAATTCTGTTGGCTGACTAATCTCTACATATAATAAAAGGAAGAATATGTCTTTGTGCGTGTCTTTCGTTCGTGCTGCACGTAAGCTAATAGACCCAGGCCTACAAACGTTGGTACATAGGTTCATCTAGACAAGAGCCAGCGCACCTCAAAATTCGAATGAGTTTTTTTTTTAAATTTATTTTAGGTTTCTCTTTTTGATTATATCGCATCAAATCGATGGCACGCAGCAACAATGGCACGCAGGCATTGTTGTTGATATATTGATATTGCCATTGTTGCTGATATCAGCACTGTTGCCACTCGGAAAAATGAGGGCGATAATTCTATGCAGTTTTTAAATTTAATGCTTCTCTTGGATATTGGACTTTTGTCGAGAGGTACTTGGATACGACGTTTGTCTAGAGGACGTCTGTTCTCCGGTACGTTTAGAAACTAGACGATAGCTGGCTGCATCATAGCGGTTAGTTAACAATAAAAAGTCTTTGAAAGATCATGAAAGCCACGTGATTGCTAGAATCTAGAACTAATAGTCAGATCAGAACCCCATCCTTCCATATAGTAGCATATTATGGCATTAAATTTTATGTTTTGGTGTGGAAAACAATTTCTTACGTTAATAATGGCGTTTTTGACAGAATTGATCTGAATGAAAAAAGCATAAAAAGCATTAAAACGTCAGTACAGATATTCACCTGAGGTGTGGAACATCAAAATATTAATATTTCGTGCTAAAATTTGAATATAGTTTGTTCTAGCCCTTTTAGAACCATATAAGGACTCAGACAATATGAATTTCAAAAATTGTTTTCGCTCCACCCTAATATGTGGTCACAATCACATATGCAGATCATTCATTATGGCGGTTCATAATGGTCGCACTTAAAAATTTTAGTGTGACTATTCCGTGTTCATGACTTCCTCCAGATGTAAACGTGCTTAGAATCAGATGCCAAACGGAACAGGAACTGAGAAACACACAAGCTAAATATTTTAAGTTCCATCCCTACCTCATTTCCAATTCCAGAATAATAACAGAATTTCCTAAAATTATAGAATAACTAATTAAAGTGGCAATTTCTTTAGTCCGAAAACTAGTTTCCCCGAAACCATTTAGTAAATTCTCTCCTGGAAATGAGACTTATGGGATCTTTCTTGATCTGGTAAAAGTTAATTTGTCCAAAATCCCCTAATAACGAATTATCACTATGTCTATATTTGAAACCAATAATCGCTATATCTGAAACTAGAGTCAGATAAAAGTTTAAATAATCTTTTTAGTTAAACAGAAATCTGAACATAAATGCACGTTCTTGTGCTAACAAAACCAGCCATAGCTCGTGGTCATGCAACTAAATAACAGTCAAATTCAATTTTAAGGGTAGACTACATAAATTAAATAAATAAAATACAAAGACTACATAAATTAAATATTCATCTAAGCTGGCTCAGAAACTCTACCGGCGTAACAAATTCAAATGTTGGCAATGATAACGTAAAGCCGAATAATTAAAAATTATGATAGCTGACAGCAATTAAAGTAGTGTGCATAAACAGGCCTGAAAAATTTATTATCTCCAAACCTCAGTTTAAATACTAGCTAATTTGAATTATGGTGAGGAAACAGAAAAGTGAAGTTAGACTGAAATTATAAATAATTGGTTAATTTAAATAAAATAACCATACAAACTTAATACAGATTTATTTAGAAAATATAAATATGATCAAAAAATGGGGCTTGTTTTATCTGAATGGAAAATTAAACACTACTCCCTCCACTATTGATTTTATAGAAATAACAATCACAATGAAAACAAATGACGCAAATAAGTATTTATGTAAAACTTGACACTCGTGTTACTCAGTGTTAAAGATAACGTTCTATAAAATGTACAACTGAAAATGTTTTTTAAGAGTCGATAAAAGTGTCGAGATTTACTTTTGAAAGGATGGATGCTGATAATGTCACAGCTGTTGTAAAAGCAGGAAGACAGGATGATAGCGTAGACGATTTAAAACCTTTAACACCAGTAAAACTGGCGCTTGGAAATAACGATCGTTTCGCCATAGCATTGCACTAATGAAGCAGAAAGGATTTTAATTTTCTTGACAAAATACAAGAAAATGGCATATTTAAACCAGTGAAAGATAAAAAGCCTAACAGGTATTTTGAGCCGATAAATAAAATTTTAGGGGTTTTAGTGCAGAGAAAACAAAATAAGGGTTTTCATTTAATTTATATTTGTAGTCATGTAATTATTAATTATCTGAATAAATAATTTATAATTTTATATTTAACATACTGTATTTTAATTCATATTTATTCGCCTTTTAAGAAGATATTTTATACCATGCTAACTCTGTAAAAGTCATATATGTTACATGTTATGGTTCGTACTTCATAGAATTATTAAATCCCATATCGAGCATTTGAGATGAAACCTTTAATTTCATTAAAAAAGGTTTTATTGCACTACATCTTTATGCGTTTTTCTTTTACTGCATCTGTAATAAATTAATGAAATTGCCTACTTTAATTTTAATCATGTACTTATATTTTGAAAGGAGACTTCTCGCCATTAGACATAAATGTTTGGGAAAGTTTTGAGGTCGTGAAAGCTCATAATTAGAAAATGAAACACATAATATCATAAAAAAGTTCAGTTTTCATTTTAGTAAAGCATAATTACTTTTTATTGTTACGTTAAAATCTGTCAATTAATGCTTAAGAATTTATTACGGCGTTCAACGAGAAAAGGAAATTTTTTGTTACTGAAAATATTTGCTGCCAAACGTAGAGGTAATTACAGTAATACTGTTCTCAGAGTCCCGATCTAAGTTCTGGCTGCACTATGCCAGCGCTTGATACACTAAGCATATAGATATCGAGAGGAATATTGATTTCGCAGATGTATGCACCACTCGTCCATCGCTGACCGAACTTCATTATCCTAGAATTTTTTTCACCTCTTACCCCCACTGATTAGAAATGCTTCACTGTTATCCTCATACAGATACAGAAAAATTTAGCTAATATCGACTGTCATTTTTGCATAGACATTGTAGTAACATTATCTCAGGGTAAATGTTGAGATGGATTGATCTAACATGAATGACCAAAAGTAGTGTTTCTTAATTGTGATACGCTGGTTTTTTCGTATCACTTTCTCCGCTGCTTTAGTTGAATTTTTCTTGAATGCTGAACTGCACGGAAGAAAATTCCTCACAGTTTTGACGTCTTCTAAATCTTCTAAATCCATACACCTATAGCTTCTTATAGTTGTCAAATAATTTTCGACATATGTAGAATTTACTAGTTAGATCGAAACTATAAAAGCATCTAAAACAGTTGAAAAGGTAAAAGCAGCAGAATCCATTTAC